GTGTCTAATCACATCAGCAACCCATCATTTTATTTCCTAGAAAATCTCCTCTGTAGTGAACAGAAGCGGTGATTAAAGTGACAAAAACCTAATTTTCGCAAGAAAGGAAGTTATTTTTGTGGTTCCCACCTTCGGAGTGAGCCACGTACTACTGCATGTTCACAAAAAAGAACAAGCGGCTGGATGGGTGAGAAGCGAAGTACACTTTTGACAACGACAATCGAGTATTTCATCGCTTAAAGCGTCTATCCATAGCCGATCGGGATCATTTTAATTAGAGATAGCTACATTAGTCTAATTTCTTATAATTATTTCGTTGTTCTCATTATTTTTAGAATATTCCTCTGGTAAGCTCCTTCTGCTAGTCAAACCACTATTCATTGACTATTGAAGGATTTGGTCTGAAGATTTGAGCCTTTGAGCTTCGCGTATTCCCTAAGTTTTATTACTCATTTAAGAGGACAAGTACGGGTTCGAGTCCCGTCCGATACTGAAGTTTTGTCCACAAATCGCCAACCTTGTGAGTCATTCAAGAGAATTATCGAGCTCTGAATTCTACTTCTGAAATAACTCATCAAAACATTTTATTGGGCACGAAATGAAAGTGTTCTAGTCAGTTAAGTGTCCCAAAAGTATTCCTCTTTGTCTCATGTAGAAGCTGGAGATGATTTTGTTTTCGACTTCTTTTTACGTTTATCTGTAACACCTTCGTATTGAGTTGGCCAAGAGCGGTGAAACAGGATTCATGGCTTACCTTTACTTTTACTCTTCTTCGCTCTCTTTTTACTTGACTTCTTCTTCGGCTTTTTGCCACCTTCCTTTTTTCCAGTATCTGTTTTTGTTTTGGCAGCATCACTTGGCGGACCGGTTGCGGGACCTTAAATGCCTCAACACTTCTTTTTAGAACAGTCTTGGGAAACAAATTTGAAAAAGAGAAATTGTAATGAGCTAAAGTAGCGCTGGTGATTGTACTGACTCCTTTTTTGGATTCTGCTTGGGTGTACGATAAAATTTTTTTCCACCAGAGGAAGTTATTTCAGAAGTAGATCATTACTAAATTTCAAGCCTAAAGCTCCCCTTTCAAACTGACTAGACTTCAGAGTGAAGTTATCAGAAGACCTAAGACAGGTCTGCCAGGCACTTTGCCAAGGAACCTATTGGAATAGTTATTGCGGTGGAACAATCCAGCTTCAAGCTGCGCCCGGCGAATGACTCATAATTCAGAGTTGTGACGTTGTTTGAATGCCCATCTGCCCTATGCAATCAGTTCCCTCGGCCAGCTGATGTACCTTCAGACTCACAATCCTCTCGGATGGGCACGGTAACGCCTAAATTGTCATAAAGAGATGAAGGTCCAGGGAAGTTTGAGGCCAGGGTTTCTCAATCACTGGACCATGGGTGTGTCGAATGTGCAACTTGGCCCTTCAATGAATCAAGTGAAAAAAGTTCTGATTCAAGGTCGAAAAGGTTTACAAATAAAGGCTTTGAGTAACTCACTTTTCTTTTGTTCTTTACCTTCTTTACTGCCTTTATCTTTACTTTCACCTTTACTTGCGGTACTATCTGGTTTACTCATAGTACTATCTTTGCTGTCTTCATTCGACATTTTTTCATTGGACGCCTTATCGCTAGAGATCTTGTCAGGAGCTTTCAACTAAAAACACTTTTTCGTTGGAGAAAATGGGTGCGCTTCGTTGCGCGCGTCCGTCGAAATTAGGTCACGTCGCAGCCGTCGCACGCGGCGTGTCAGCTCGCGGTCTTTGACAAACGTCGCAGTTGTCAGTGGGGCATACGAACTGCGCTCGATCCACGGCAGTCAGCCAAAGAGAAGATAACATGGGCGAATGCAAATAGCTTGCTCCACTGACACTTGGTGGTACTGTAATGTCATCTTGAGACCTCTATGGGCTACGCCGCGCACGAAGCGGGCGGGGTGAACGCGCGCAACGGACGTTCTCCTAGTTTTTCACTTGCAGGAGTACATGACTTCGCAATTAATTATGTGGATTGGAGTTCATGTCCCATTCATAGTTACGGTTCTATTTTCTTTGTGCGGCTTTGTGAGCATTAATTGAAATAGGCTCTATATTTGTCGATGAAGCTTGGGAACGGCAACGCTACTTCTGATAGTCTTCAAATTCTCCCTTGTTTTGACCTCGACATAACTGTTTGCTATGGCTAAGATCTTGTGTCGTGCGAGGTTTTAGGTGTAACTAACTCCACGTACAGCTTTCTATGTTTAGGTTCTCCTTTCAATCACCTGCGTGCCCTGGGGGTCTCGAACTTTTCAGGGTTGGTGGAGACATTTGATCGAAACGTCTCAGATTGTTATGGTCTTTTCAGGCTCTGAAGAAGGCGATTCCGCCGAAACATCAGCCTAATAAAGCACATTTGCGAACAGTGAAAAGTTCAAGAAAACAATAAAATCAGGCGAAACAGTTCTTTAATTTCGAAGGCCCAACGCTTCACACAGATGCCTTCTGTTAGTCCCTTCTAGCAAACCGACGACCAAAACTCGTTCGAGTATTACACACTTCATAGAAGACCCATCAGGGTTCCACCATTCAAATGAATTCCATTATCAGTGCACGCGACCCTCAGTAACATGCGAGACATCGTAACGTTTGCCTTATACGAATGAAAAGGGAAACCAGCAAACCTCGTGATGTTAGTGATTGGGAGTCGTAGCTCGTAGTGCGATTACGAGTCATAGCTCGTAGTGCGGTAAGAATAGAAGGGAATCATTAGTCACGGTCGGACATTCATCTCTGTTCAATTTAGGGTCAATTTGAGAAATCTAAAGCATCTCTAACGCCTTTTTTCCGAAATTTTCGTTTAATGCTGCACCATGGAGTTCGATCACCGAATGATATGACTGGGACGTTCCCATTCAGTAATTCAATATTCAATGCTGTTGTTGATACCTGTCTGCGTTGTCGAAATGTTTCCCATATGAGGTCCACGAACGAGTGATGCAAAAAGAAAACTGGGTCGTTAGCTGAACTTGCGGTGAGCACCATATCGCCTGACAAAATGTAACAGTAGTGCATAATACAATAGAAAGATTTGGGGGAACTGTAGTTTGTTTTCGTTGCTCTTATGCAAATAAGCTCCCTTTAACCATGCTATAATTTTTCTTGAAGCCCCTTTTCCCCTTCCCTCTCTCTACCAATTTCTGATCTTTCCCACAGAATTTTGAGAGATTCTCATCGGTTCTAGTGAGAAAAATTTTAAGAAAAATCTTTGGAAGCACGAAATCCGAGTTTTGTAGAATAATATTCGTGAGGAGTAGATGTTGGAAATTGGATCGATGGCAAGTTCACGATAATTTTGAGTAATTCAGATTATAACGTAAAATGGAAGATGAGAAATGGAAAATGTCGGAAGGGCCTACTTACGCAAGCAAGCGGCGTGCCTGGTAAGATATTTGACTGAGAGGAGAACTAGTATGACCTATTGATTCACAGGCCCCAGTAAGTATATAAGGGGGCGACCTCTCAGAAAAGTATTCGTGTTCTGATTTCGACTCGAACCCCACCCTTCCACGGACCTGCCTCGGCCGCTACCCTCCTCGACGGAACTCGTTTGGACTCGGTGCCTGCGCTCGACATTTTTTTGTGTTTTCTTTGTATCGTTGTTTTGTTTCGTGTCGTGTTTGTTGTAGTTTGCCGGATAAATTGTTCAGTAAACTGCTCTTGTTTGTTGGGTCGGTCACAAACCATAACTATTGGAGTTCTGCCAAACATTACATGGGGGCCGAACCGGTCCAATAGAGTTCAGTGAATGACCGCGCAACAAGGCAGATCGGTAGAGAAGAAAGCTACCAGCAGAGGAAATTGGTGCCATACACAAGGGCAAGTAAGGGCTCAGGCATCTAAGGGTCGGACAGTATTGATCAGACCGACGAAGGACGAATTCAGAAAGGGCGCCAGTATTGACTCAAGATCACTAAGGCGAGTATAAGACTATTGATCTCGTACAAAAAGGGGGGCATAGGGATCGGCTTTGTGGATTGATATTGCTTCTTGTTTTTCGCGATTAATTGCTGTTTTTCGCGATTAGCCTCATGTCGTATTCCTCTCGTTCGTCATAAGCAAGGGCGTAAGAACGTACGTAATACTTTCGATTGCAGAAAACGTCAGATGAAGTGGAAATGTACGAGCCGGATGGGAAGGAGAATGAAACCCCGGTGAGTTTCCCACACATGAATTTGGTGGGTGTGCTAGAAGAAATTAGGGATATGATCAAGTAGATCCCTGTTGATATGTGGGAAAAAATGCGGGAACACAAATATTCCGCCCGCTATAAGAGCATGCATGAAGAGAGCCTATCAGGCGGAATTGAGCTGGTGTGTGAGAAGATAAGAACGCTAATGGGGTGCAGTGGCGTCACCCGCCTATTGGACACAGAGATCGGGGAAACCTTAAGGGTAAGAGGCATAGAGTCGAAAGAGGATTGGCAGGAGTATGTTGAGACAATGGAAAGGGATGGAAATATTCTTGAAAAGTCGTAGGATGAATTAAATGCATTGCAGCTAGTGGCTACAGTGAATAGCCTGAAGAAATCGACATTGGAAAGGCAATCAGGGAGCAGTACAAAGGAAGCCCACAGAGGTACGGCAGAAACGGATCACAGTGGGACAGACAACTGCATAGCTTCGCTCTTGCAGGATCAGATGGGCCCACAGAGTGGAGTGCTCAGGACGCAACTCGAGCAGCTCTGCAATTCGTTTGGAAACGGGATCAGCCAGCACAGGTCAGGATTCAAATATGAGCCTTTTGAATTATGTACAGTCGTTATCTGATCCCGGAGTTTTTAAAGGGAAACCGAATGAAAATTTCAATGAGTTCGTCAGGAAGTTTCGTCGGAAATACAGTAAGGTCATAATAGATGACAAGACATTGATCGATGTATTGAGCGATGACCACTTAGGGGGTCGCGCAAAGAATATCGTGAGAACCCTGCCGAGCAATATCGTTGACAAAGGCTTTGGGGAGGTAGTCAAAGAGCTAGGTAGGCTGTTAACAAGTGACTGCGTGGCTGGGAGGATGAGAGCGCTTACGGAATTGCGCAGCCTGCGAATAAGACCTGAGCAGGACGTTGCATATTTTTGCGTCTTCTTAGAAAACCTGTCTGGAAGGGCAAACCCAGAGAGTGCAGGCGAGGCCAGATCTCCAGAGAATGCGCAAATTTCGTTGGAAAATTTGCGTGAGTGGCCCGAACATGCTCAGCTGATAAGTGGTTTGCACCGGGCGGGTCCGGAGAACGCATATGATGAAGTGAAGCAACTTGCTTTGAGCATAGAACAATCAAGGGCATTGGTCGAAGCAAGTCAGTACAGGAGAGGAGGAAAACCAGTAGAGTGGAAAACTAGGAGGAGCATCTATTCGCGGCGGACAGGAGGAGAACCCGACTTTCTCAAGCGACCTGTGAACCGGCAGACAGTAAGGTT